TGCCCGACGCCCGCCCGCTGCTCACCTTCGGCGGGCTCCTCGGCCCGGCCGGCCGTCTCCCGCGCGGCGCAGCCCGCTGCTCGGACGCCAGCGCGAACCGGGCGTCCCGCAGATGTCCGGCGGGCCGGCCGTGGCGCTCCCGGTAGCCCAGCTGCTTGCGTCAGCGAGCGCAGCGCACAGTCGTACACGTAGACGGGCAGGCTGAGCGAGCCGAGCAGCGCCGGCTGGCGGCGGCAGGGCCGCGACCAGCCGCGCCGCCGCTGGCCCGCCTCGCTGTTGGGGAACGAGCGCGAGCGGTGCGGACACTGGGCCGGGTCCGACTCGCAGTGCTGCAGCTTGGACGGCGACGAGGGTGCCGCGGCCGCGCCGTGCGGGCCGCACGCCGCGCCTCGCGCGCCTCGCGTCCGCTGGCGCGTCCGTCACCAGCGTGGAACCGTCTTCTTGGCGGCGGCGCCGGCCGAGCAGGCCGGCTGCGCGCCGCCTGCGCCAGCCCGTCGGGCGGCGCGGGCCGCTGCCGGCGGCCGCGCCGGCGGGCCGCGTGCTGAGCTAAGCGCTGCGCGGCGGCACCGACCACGGCGCTGCTCAGGCTGTCGGCCAGGCTGTCGGCGCGGCTGTCGGTGGCGAACAGGGCCGCGAGGCTCTCCTCGGCGTCCTCGGGCACGTACTGGCGGCTGTCGGTCCCGGCTGCGGCGCCGCGCATCAGCTGCTTCAGGTCGTCGAAGCTGGCCGGCAGCAAGCGTCACCACCACGTGCGTCGAGCTGATGGCCTTAACGTAGCAGCGCCACTTGGGCACCCGGGCCGCCCAGGTCTGCCGGCGTGGGCATGAGCAGTCACAGCCAGCCCTGGGGGCCCGTCACAGCCAGCCCTGGGTAGCAGTACAGCCAGCCCGGGCACCTGTCACAGCCGACCATGTTCAGTGACGTACACGGTGCAAGCCAGCATATAGGCGCACGCAGCTGTAAAGCCGGGTATGTATACAGGTCCGTATAAGTGAGTCATGTAGCCTACTGCTATTTTCCCCGCGGGAGTGTCGTCGGCGCCGGGTTACCGGTCGCTTAGAGAACCACGCAGGCGGGGACAGACATGAGTACCCCGACAAAGCCGTGTCACCGTGCTCCGACGGCCAAGGCGCGTCGCACGCAGCCCCCTGCCGCGGCGGACACCGTTGCCGGCTCCGCGGCGGCCGGCGCCCGGCACACACCGTGCTGGAAGGGCGCGTGCGGCCGGCGCTCGGGCCGCTCCCGCTCGCTGATCAGCTGCGGGATGAGCCGGCAGTCGCGCTCGGTCAGCGTCAGCTGGCGCTGGTGCACGGCCGCCACCGTCTCCAGCAGCAGCCGGAACAGCTCCCGGTTTGCAGCGTACCGGGTCGTGGCGCTGGCCGGGCCCGCCGCACGGCGCGGTCCAGGTCGGCCAGGTCTGCGGCCACGCCGCCCAGTCAGCCTCGCGACCGGCGGCAACAGCTCACGCGGGCTGACTAACACACCGGCGTGCGCCTCAACACTCCAAAGAGTGGAAACGGAGAGGAAGTCTTGTTAGACGTCATGTCAGCTGGGAAAAGCCCAACCCAGGCCGCAATGAAAAAACCCACGTCAGGGTCTTATCACCTATGTCAATTAGTTACCCTCTATCTCACCTTGCACTTGTCACCCGTAAGTAAGTTTTAGAACTTTCGGTACCCTCTTTATCTCTTGTTTTCTTTTAAAGTATATCCGGCGGTCTTTTAAACCACAAGCTCTTCCTAACTCGCCTCTTCGTCCCAACACGAGACCGATTTGCTACGACTACCCGGAGTGCGCAGGTCAGCATCCGGCCCTGTGTCCGCTGATCGTGCGAACGGCAGGGACAGTAGGACGCGACACACTATCTCTGCGTCCGGCGACGGCCACCACCGACCCCGCATGCCGTTCTCGTATGGCCGCTCACCTTGGACGTAGGTGGAGAGCAGAACCTCGGCCTGCTGGCAACGCCGCAGCAGGCGCGGTAGGTCGAAACAGAACGGCACCAGCCGGATGCCCATCTCACTGTCAGCACACGGGAGAGGGGGACGGGCGGGCATCACCAACGAACCGGCGTGGGTCATTCTCGAAACAGCCGGCGGGCAACGTGTTCGGACAAAGGGTTCATTAAAAAGTCGAACGAAAAAAGTAAATGGGAATAAATGCAGCGTCTAAATATAAAAAAGGCTGACATGAAGTCCACAGGGATAAAAGTCAACCGGGATTAAAACTGAATCGAGAAAATGTCGAAGGACAAAAAAACGACAAAGTTCAAAGCAGAACTGGAAACATGTCAACTTAGAAACAGATTAGAATTAGAATTAGAAATACAAACTTAAGGACTAAAATTAGGCAGATACCAAAATCGACAGGGAGGTCAGAATATAAAAAAGCCGGAAAGTCCAAAGGAACGAAAGTCGGCAGGAAGTTCACGATGCGCTACTGAGTGATAACGATGGCAAACTCATAATCATAAGTACAACTAAAAACGCCAAGAAATGACATTATAGTGATGTTTGCTCTATTATGTCGTTTAACCTTACCACTGTTTGCTACTCAGTTTGGGCAGGGAGGGGGATGCTGGAGATCCGCACCTCCCCTCGCCGTTAACTTTGGGAAGAAAGTTGGTCGAAACCGGGAAACTCTATTTGTTGGTGTTTGGAAAGTAGGTCGCGTTATTTTCATTGCTCCCCTCTCCCCCCCCCCCCCCCCTTCTCCCAACTCTTTCTGTGAGACAAAGTCCGTTGCTGAGCAACCAGAAACTGAAGGCTCTCCTAGCTGATATCAAGCATCATAGTGTTGTGTCTGGTGCGGATGCGCACAATGTGTGTTTTTAGGGTTTCATAATGCGCACGTAGTTCAGCGCCGACGGTCAGATGCCATCCGCTGCCCTGAGGCCCGCCCTGCGTGCTCGGCTCCGCTCCCTCTCCCCTAATGTAAAACGCCGGGGTATCGAAGCCGCGGGCTGTCGCCCGGCGGACGAGAGCCGGGTGATGTTACAGAACAGCTGAGACGCATATCTTGGCATCATATTCGGGCTCTCGGGCTCTTTTATCCCTTCCACTTTTTTCCTATACAATCCTTATGTCTGGCGGATTTTTTCGATTTTTCATTTGTTTGGCCTTTTGTCCGGGAACCGACAGGCAAGAATGCACGCTACTGCCACGGTGCATTAGATGAGGAAAAGCTCTCAACTAACTGACTCCCTACCCCTCACTGTTGTAGAGGTCAATGTCACATGGCGTGTAGAGCTAAGCGGTCAGCGACACCGCCTCTCCTCCACCCTCCCGACAGCCCACTGAAACAAGACAGGCACGGCCGCCCCACCCACCTGGCGGGGAGGCTGTGCGGCGAGGAGGCGGCCCAGGGCGAGGGCACGCTGGCGCCATCCTCAGCGTCAACACATCAGCGCCAGGGTATTCCATGGTCACCAGCGTCGAGATGCACTCGCGGTCCAGCTCGTAGAACTGAAGGCGGCCGCCGCTCCCGGTCAGCCGAGCGGTGACGGGTGGGACAGTACCAGCCCGGCCGCGGCCGCCGCTCACCACACCAGCGCTCACTGACTGACAGACTCAGTTCCGGGCTTTCGCCAATAATACAGCAGTAGCATTACATAACGTAATAGCAGCAATAACGCAGCTTAACACTTAAGCACACCGCACTAACGATACTAATGCTATAACATCACCAGCACCATAACAGCACTAACTATGTAACAACACTAACGCTATAATTAATTACGGATTGTTGGGAAATTCTGATCCGCGATATGGGACTGCTGCCTGCCAAACAAAGCAACTTGCAATCCTCAGCCATATATCCATATCCATATATCCAGCCATATATCCATATCCAGCCAATCCATATATATATTATATATATATATATATATATATATATATATATATATATATATCGGTAATTGCAATCATCTTTACTAATTCAATGATGTTTTTCAAATCGGGTGAAGGAAATTTTTCCAGTTTAGGGAAACTTGCTCCCTGAATATGACCTGACCCAACCTCTTATCCACACCACATCAATGTTATTTGGTCACATAGCAGCCTGCCCCTGTTTGCCACCAGAGTGGGCAGTGGACCCTGCCGCCCGGCAGCCGTCGGCCGGCCGCTTATCTCACCTTGCTGGCCACCTGTTCGTAGGTGAGCTTGTTGAAGTGCACCTGGCGGTCGCTGTGTGTGAGCAGGCAGCCGCTCTGCGGCTCAACCCAGCACTCGGTGACGATGTGAGCCTGCCACATCCGGCTCCGCCTCCGGCTCGCCCGGCTCCTCCTCCGACATTGACAGACTGCGCAACACACATACGTGTGTGCCGGTCATGGGGGCAGGCGCCGACACGGACATCGGTCACGGTACAGGCACGGACAATGGTCACGGCACAGGCCAAGGCACGAACACCGGTCACAGGCGCAGGGAGGGACACGGACACCGGTCACGGGCACAGGAAGAGACACGGACATCGGTCACAGGCGCAGGGAGAGACGCTGACACCAGTCATGGGCGCAGGCGGAGACAAAGACACCGGCCACGGCACAGGCCAAGACACGGACAACGGTCACGGGCACAGGAAGAGACACGGACACCGGTCACAGGAGCAGGGAGAGACACGGACACCGGTCACGGGCGCTGGCAGTGACACTGACACCGGTCATGGGCGCAGGAAGAGACGCTGACACCAGTCATGGGCGCAGGCGGAGACAAAGACACCGGTCACGGCACAGGCCAAGACACGGACAATGGTCACAGGTGCAGGGAAAGACACGGACACCAATCACGGAACAGGCCAAGACACGGACAATGGTCACAGGTGCAGGGAAAGACACGGACACCAATCACGGAACAGGCCAAGACACGGACAATGGTCACAGGTGCAGGGAAAGACACGGACACCGGCCACGGGCGCAGGTGATGATACGGACGCCGGTCACGGGCGCTGGCAGTGACACTGACACCAGTCACAGGCGCAGGCGGTGACAATGACACCGGTCACGGGAGCAGGCGGTGACACTGACACCGGTCACGGGCGTAGGCGGTGACATTGACACCGGCCACGGGCGCAGGCGGTGACACTGACACCGGCCACGGGCGCATGGCGGTGACACTGACACCGGTCACGGGCGCAGGCGGTGGCACCGGCACCGGTTGCGGGCGCCGCTCGATCGGCCGTGGCTCACACGTCCTGACTGGCCATCCAAGCCCTGCAGTCCCGGCTGCCGACTGGCTCGGCCGACGTACAGTCCTGGCCTTCACTCACAGTGAGTACCGTCCTGCGCCAGGCCGGGCACCGACTGGCTGCTCAGGCCGCGCGGCTCCCGACCCACCTCACGGGATCTGCCCGCACCGGACATCGTCCAGCAGCCAGCCACTCACTTGTCCCTGCTGCCGGAGGCGGCACTGATGTGCGGCGGGAACAGCACGTACTGCACACGAACGGGTGCGTCTGGGGCTCGCCGCTGCCCAGCGGGCGGCACAGCGGGTGCTGCACCTCCATCTCCAGCACCAGGTTGATGATGCCGTGCGATGAGTGCGCGAAGCTGAAGCCCTCCTGCAAACGGGACCTGGCCAGAGAGCGGGCCCGCATTACCAGTCGAGGCCGGGCGGCGGGAGGCCGGGCGGCGGGACGTCCCGCGGCGGGAGGCCGAGAGGCGGGAGGCTGGGGGGGGGGGAGGGGGGGGGGGGGGGCAGGACGGCGGGCTGGTGGGAGGCGGAGCCGGCTGTCTCGCCCCGCGCAGCCCTCGTAATATGCACACAAACTGCTCTGGACAATTAGTATAGACGGTCCCAGGCGCTATGACATCCCCAAAAACGTTATCGAGAACGCGACAGTTCCAGTGTGTTGTGATATCTGGGCGCAGGTGCTCGCTTGACAGGCTAATGGACAATGTATGCTAGCCTGCAGCGCACCACCAAATGTCATTTTGCCATTTTTCTGATACCCCAGCTGTAAGTTTGAAAAAGGAAACCCACGCACCACCGATATGCCAACTAAAAACACACCTCACAACACAGACAGCCTTCCCAAGTTCCCACCCTACACCACTGACGTGGTTGCGGAGCAGCCATGCCAGCACCAGATCCACACCACCCGTGACTATCAAGTCGCACTCACTTGACAACGGTGGAGAGGATGCGGCCCATGGCTGTCATGGACATGGACGGTCCGCGCCTCTCCTGCATTTCCCACACCCAGCGGCGGTGGTGCAGGTACCTGACGGCCAATTGCTCATTGTAGGATTGCCTGCAATGCTAACCGGACTCCAGGCATGACGGCACACGGCTCTGATCTTAATTTCCTAGTAGAAGCCACGGCTCCTCCTATTTGCATAAGTTTATACTTCGTGTCAGTCTGTCGCATGGCACAGTGCACTCAAACATGGCGTTGCTCCGTGATAAGACAGCACACCAACTCCACCAACAACCGACCAACCGGCACCATCCTTATCCCATAACTCCAATACTGAGCGCCATGCCTCGCAGCAGTCGCCACGCATTCGACGGCCCAGATGGCCCGCGGCGCCGGCCGCCGGTCAACTCCCAACCTGGACAGCGTGTTGAACATGGTGCTGGCCGTCTTGTTCTGCGAGCTGACGGCGCTCGAGTAGACGGGCGGCCGGTGGCGCGGCCGGCCCAACACGTGCGACTGCTGGATCACACCGGGCTCAGGAAATTGCGCGGCACGCGGTCGTACCTGCAGCCACCGACAGGTGTCAGCACCGGCGGCTCACGGTGACACGGACAGGGGCGGTGGGACGCGTCTGTGGCGACAGGGCGGTACACACAGCTGATATCACGGTAAGAGGGACAGGGAGTGGCAGAGCCTGGACCGAGAGCACGGATAACACAAGGGCCGCCGGTGCACGGCTCCCATCGGCGTCTCTGGCCGGCGCCGCCACCGCCGCACACAGCTCTGTCCTGGCTGGCGCCGCAGCTGCACTGGCGACTCTTACATCGTGCTTTGCTCTCGTTTGCATAGCGATTTTAGAAAACGCAAGTTCGCCAAAGCCCAGATAAGACAGCTGATGACGTCGCACATACGACAGCCTGCAATGGGTCACCTCAAAACGCGAAGAAGCAAGAGAGTGCACATGTTTCGCATCACAAGCCGGCCAGCCGGCTCAGCAACCCGCACATATCACTCCAGCAGGCGGCACACAGAGAGCCCGGGCGAGCGTAGTCGTCTCTCACCGGATCAGGAACTTCTCGACGGGCTTCTTGAGCAGGACACAGCAGCTGACCTCGTGCGTGGCCGACCGGCTGGCGCTGTAGTGGTCGGCCGGCAGCAGACCCCGCTCCGGCGTGCCGTCGTCAATGGCCACTGGCGGCGGAGCAGGGCGGGGTGGGGTGGCTCAAGAGGCCGGCCGAGGAGCGGCCAGCATGGCGCCGTACGGCTCGCCGTCAGCCCGCAGGCACCCCAGCCACCAGACTGGCATGGCACGGCCGGCTCAGGCACCGGCCTGTAGCCCCAGTGACACACAACCGGCACACAACAACCGATCGTTTTGAGTCACAGAGGCCGTGCTTGCTTCCACTTTAGATGCACTTAGCTATCGAGCATATTCAAAACTTGTGCTGCATGCCCACAGCCAGCTTGTTTCAGATGAGTACACACACCAGCGTAATCTTCAACAATGGGTGTTGCGCTGGACCAATTTGTACGATAATTTACCGCACGAGTTCAGCACATTCATCAGCCGGGGCGTCCAATTCCCGGCTATCTGTAGCTGTCCCAGCGGCGATGAACGCCACACTCCAGCCAGCAATGCCCAGCCGCGCGTCACGGCCTGCGAGCTGGTGTTGCCGCGGCGCACAGCTTCAACACTTCCCGGGTCTCCTGATGGCGGCCGGAGCCGGAGCCGGAGCCGGAGCCGGAGCCGGAGCCAGAGCCGGAGCCAGAGCCGGAGCCGGAGCCGGAGCCGGGACCGGGATCGGGGCCGGCGCCAGGGCCGAGGTCGGAGCCGGGCGGCGGCACTCACCCGTCTTGGGCACGGCAGACTTCTCGATGGGCCGGGCGTTCTTGCGGATGGGCGGGTCGGCCGACAGGGCCGTCTGGCCCTCAGTGAATGTCAGCGCCAGGATCCGCTCCCGCAGCTCCTTCACGATCTGACGTCATGGCGTCACGTCACCGACCAGGTCCAATCATCTCTCAGTCACCGGCCAGCATTCGAAGCGCAGCAGCCTCTTAGAGCGGTTCCTTCTCGCAGTACTCTGAACACCTCAGAAGGGGCCCTAGAATCCCGCCAAAAATTCCCGGACCCGTTGACTCGGCACGCGGAATATTGTAGGACTCGTTACAATCAACTAACGGAAGCACGGACTATTGAACTCGTTACCACAACTCTGACTTCTGGATGACAGCGGGAAACCCACGTAACCGCATTAAGTCAGCTACCGTCTGATCGCGTGAATCCCCGAATGCCCCAGCGTGTCACCACGTGATCCGCGTGCCGCCGCCGTCTGTCCCGGTGGCGGCCGAGGCCGGCGCGCCTCACCTGGTTCCTCAGGTCGCCCGGTGTGCCGCCGAGGAAGGCCAGCCGCACCACCATGCAGGGCGGCCGCACAGCCAGGTTGACGCGCAGCATGTAGAACGAGGTGGGCGGCGCGCCCTCCTTCTCGGCGCTGCCGGTCAGAGCGTGCGCCGGTCGCCGGTCAGCCGTGACCGCCGCCGGGGCGCGGTCGGGCCCGACGCCCCCCAGTCAACCAGCAGCCACGTCCGGCTGGGTACTCAACAGCCGGCGCAAGCAATGGAGCTGCAGAGGCGTCACTACAAGGCCCCTCATTTCCGTAATGCTAAACGGCAGGGCGAGCCTTTCTGGGCCAGCCTCTCCAAGGCATAGCATATCAACACATCAGTTTAAAACACGGCGGTGAAAAGGGACGAGGGCACCTGAACCTTTTAAAGTACATAAGCGTATCTAAGCTGTAACAAACACTCATTTCAACGTTCACTGCTGGCAAACGTCGCATCACGGCCTGCACTGTAGCCGTCGGTAGGTACTTACAATACGATTGCACTGAATGAACAGTAACAGAGAAGAAGCCGTGTAAAGCGCCCCACCTGTACAGGAACTTGATGTAGGAGTGGCCGTCCAGCAGGGCGAAGTCGGTAACCTCGGCCAACATGGACGTCACAGCCTTGGTGGCCTGTCGACACTGGACCGGGTTGAATCTGAAGCCGCAACAGCCAGTGTCAGGGCGACTGGGCAGCGCCGTGGCGACTTCTTCTAAACATTACCCATGAATCTGGGACCGCGACAACCGGGGTCAGGGCGGACTGAGCGGCGCCGTGGCGACTTCTTCTAAACATTACCCATGAATCTGGGACCGCGACAACCGGGGTCAGGGCGGACTGAGCGGCGCCGTGGCGACTTCTTCTAAACATTACCCATGAATCTGGGACCGCGACAACCGGGGTCAGGGTGGACTGGGCGGCACCGTGGTGACTTTTCCAACATTACGCACGACCCTGTAGCTGCGACAGGCCGGGGTCTGGGCGGACTGGGCGGCGCCGTGGTGACTTCTTCTAAACATTACCCATGAATCTGGGACCGCGACAGCCGGGATCAGGGCGAACCGGGCGGCACCGTGGCGACTTTTCCAACATTACCCATGAATCTGGGACTGCGCGGATTCGTCTCATCTTTCTCACGACACATACACGTGCATGCTGACAGCAAATCATACGGAAAGTTTCAACACTCCTCGCGACGATGGGGAAGGAAAAGCAGCATACGCGCTAAGTTGTAAGGCACCGAAGCCAATTGATGTCACTTACGGAAGAGGCCCGCACCGCTCCAGCGCCGGCGCGCTGTACACGTGACAACGCTGGCTTACCGTCCGCTGTTGTTTGGCAGGCACAGGTGCTTGGGCAGGGGGTGATCGTGCTCGAGAAGCAGCCCGATCCTGTGGGCGTGCATCCACTTTTGCCAGATGTTGATGTCCAGCATGCACACGGGCTTCCAGAAGTTGCAGAACGTCTGGTAGGCGGGCTCACTGGAAGAAAGATGCATGCGATGAGCGCAGCGAAATGCTACCACATAACAAGTACATTTTGCGTTCCGTTAATGAAAAGAAGCTTTACATGGCATGTTGTTCTCGAGTGAAGATAACCGAAGATAAAAGACGGAACATCAAAATTGGGATGTGTTTCTTTACACCTCATATTATGTGAATGCTTCATTTCGACCGTGTATCTGTTCAAGTCATCCTCTTGCTGAAGTCACTCGACCAGCAGGAAAGGTTATGTGCACGTAATGGTTACAAACGAAACCACGTTCCTATTACACGAAGTGTAGCCTAAGCCACAACCAGACACTTTAATTTATGCGCACCACGAGTGCACGTACGATGCCGGCACCATGGCCGACAAGAGGTCCCGGTTCCTAATCGACCTATGTACCAAGCTCAACTCGTTGAAGTGGCGTCACAGATATATGCCAAAGGAGAATGTCTTTAATTCCAAATATGGTCACAAGAAGAACCCGATGACTCAACCCCATGGAAGCATTTAACGTATGTAAAAGGCTTACTTGATATCATTCGAATGAATAGTTGTTCGCAAGTTTGGTGGCTTAAGACATCATTGACTTTAGCGACAGCCAACACTGTACTCAACTACAGTCAGCATTGTATTTGGCCAGCATTGTCCCGTCAGCATAGCCTTTAGCACAGCCAGCAGTGTCTCGCTGCGGCGATCAGCTCAGCTCAGAGAGAGCCGCCGTCGGTCGCTGACAGTCGGCACAACGGCGGGAAACACCGCCCCGTCGATACGCCACACGGCCCCGTCGGGTCGACACACGGTCCCGTCGGGTCGACACCCGGCCCCGTTGGGCCGACCCACGGCCCCGTCGGGCCGACACCCGGCCCCGTCGGGCCGACACAAGGCCCCGTCGGGCCAACACAAGGCCCCGTCGGGCCAACACACAGTCCCGCTGCCAGCGCGATCCCGGCCAGTCGCGGCCTCCGCCGCCGACCGGGCGGACCCGGAGCTGGCTCGGAGCTACTGACCCGGAGAATGGCTCGGGCGCGCCGGTGTTCTCCGAGAGGAAGAAGAGCGGCCCGCCGCTGCGCACAACGTCCGGGACCGTGTACAGCGTAGCGCTGCTATTGAACGAGTGCAGGTGCTCCAGCAGCTGGTCGCTGTGCCGCATCGACTTCAGACTGCTCCAGAACTTGCTGAACATCGCCTGTCGGTACGGCGACTTGGTGCGCGTGCGCGCACACGTCACGTCGTGCAGGAAGTCGTAGCTGGGCTGCCGGCGGAAGGAGGGCGTCAGCATGCGATGCACGTTAATATGGCCCGAGGTAGAGCCAGCGGGTCTCTCCGACAACATTTCCCCCCTCCCCCCCACCTTTGCCAGGTCAGATGTCCACTGCACCGGCACAGACGGGAGAAACCCGCACCAGCGCCAAACAACCAGGATCACTGCTGCACTTAATCACCCACAAGCATAACCCATCGCGGGACACATTACCAGGACTGGAAAAATACGACATAACAGCCGCATGGGCTAGCAGAACAGCTTGAAGGAAGTTTTGCACATTTGTATGCATCGCTTGAAATGAGATAACCATTTTGGAGGTCGTTGGGCGCAATCCACAGCTCTGCCCCTCTCATGACTTACAAGCCTCTGATTTCTGAGCTAGACGCCCGCGAAGTTGCGCAAACAATTTCGCAAAGACAGGATGACGCAAGGTAACCGAAGCATATACGCCGACACTGGCGACGTCGCTCAAACACCAACACCTCACAAGCCAAGCGGCGTTCATAACCAGGAGATAGATGACAGGCGATTTTTCAAGTCTGGCGTGAATGAGACCGACTTCTGATGCCACGGTCTTTACTTGACTCCCAACCAGTGGGTGCTGACCGTTTCAAACACGAATCACGCTTTGTGCCACATAAAACAGGAAGTTGCACATTGGTGCTAGCTATTTCGCAAATAAGATTTGTAATCCAATAGCCTAAGTTCAGCACGATAACCGAGCATCGATATGCAAGTGAACAATATAAGATAACGGCTTAATATGCAAGAGCACCACGACAAGGGACCAAAATTACACCTACGACCATATTTGGGTCCTAAAACGCCGCACTAATTACCATGACACTTCTCGAGAAGTCGAAGTACGACAAATGAGTCAGCACGTCTGCTAGGGCGGCAATGTCGCTCGGCTAGTTTGGCAGCCCTCTGACGTCATACACACGTTCCATAACGCATTCAAACGATGATGTATGAGGAGCATTGTTACTAAATAGGAAATTGTACTCTCAAGAGCAGTATTTTGCGCTTGAAAGCATACCAATAGCTACAAGTGAGGTCATTCCATCATATGATACTTGCCTCGACACCTTCAAATGTAGGAACGTTACCCTGACTTGCACCCGATGTTAAACGGAGCCCTTATTCGCCCGCCAGCCGTGTACCGCTGCTTACCCGTGATATTCAGCTCAAATTGCACGTCCCCACCGGTCGGCGGCCAGGCCGACTTCAGCATGTACTCTATGAAGATGGAGTACTTCCACGGCAGCACCAGCGTGATCTGAAGAAAAACGCGGAGACGCATGCGAGTCAGGACAGCATGACATCATGTCACGACAGAACTGGCTCCTGCCTCCCACACACGGTACGCCCGAGAGAAGGAGTACGCTCGGTGCTGCAGTGTTTCAGGATTCGGCCATTTGCATGGCGGGGGTGTCAATATTCGTCCATGCTATTACATCCCGGCTTGGGGTTCACTGCCTGTTGAACCTACCCTTCCTCAAAATCGGTCAATCAGCATCGAACCGGGCGGCAATCAACTCCACGTCTAAGTGCCGGGGCCAGTCACCTATCTGATCAGGGTCAAACTAGAGGTAACTGGAGAGCCAGGGTTCTGGCACAATGTGACGTGTCGATTTGCACCATGGCGCGTCGGCAGACTCACCACCTGGCCGGCACTGCACGGTCCAAACCTAAGACCGGCGATGGCGCGGCACCACGCCTCACCTGGATGGCGCCGTCTTCCATCTGGACGGCGCGGATGTTGTATCCCTCGCGCAGCCGGCACGACAGCACGCTCTCCAGGCTGGAGTTGAGCACGCCGTCCGATTGGTGCTTGGTGATGAGGTCCAGCGGCGTGTCCGGCACGCAGCCCTCCAGTCTGCCGGTCGGGGCGGGCGGTCAGAGGCGCGCGGGCGCCACGCTGCCGCCCGGAGACGCCCGCCCCGGCTCAGGTATGACAGCCGGCCAGCTCCGGCCGAGGGAGGGAATGGCCGTCAGCTGGCAGGCCGTGGCGTGGGGCCGCTGGGAACCGGACCAGCTGGACCGCCGGGGGCCGGACCGGCTGGACTGCCAGGGACCGGACCAGCTGGACCACCCGGGACCGGCTCTGATGGACCGCTGAGGATTGGACCACTGGACCGCTGGAGACCGGACCAGCTAGACCGTTGGGGACCGGACCAGCTGGACCGCCGGGGACTGGACCAGCTGGACCGGTCGGGGACACGGCCGGCCGGTCAGCCAGCTTCAAAAAAGCATCTGCCGCGGGTGAGACATCATTAGTAAACCGCTAACAGCCCCAACTGGCCGACCAAACTCCTTCAAATTGTCCATCGGACTGCGTGTGGGGCCGGGAGGGGGATCGTTCTCGGACATAATGAAATTGTTGTTGGTTGGTTCTTGCCTCGCACACTTCCTATGCACACATGGCACGTCAATCAGTTTCTCTGAGATGTTGGAATGTCCCCGTACTATTGAGAAATAGCGAGTTTTCAGAATCTCAGATGATTTGGGAGGATACAAGACTCCCAGAGCAATGCTAAATTTCCTTCGCTAACTTTCGAGCTCTTGGTGCCGACCCATACCCACCGTTCAGACTGATCGGTCCCCACGGGTGAACACCGAAAACCATTCCTGACCCTCAGCTCAGCTCCTGGCCGTACTGACCCGCCCCACGAGCCCGCTCTGATGTACCGTCCCTGATCCAGTAGTCTGTCCCGGGGGACGTCCCTCTCACAGAGTGCAAGCTTGCCCGCGGCGCCCGCAACCGCCCGCGCCCCTCGCACCGACATACTGTCCTGTAATGCAATGTACCTGGGCGTGCTGCACCACGGCTCGTCGGGCTGCCCGGCCGCGTGCTGCATGGGCCCGGAGCCGCCCAGGCTCTTCTGGAAGCCCCAGCAGAGGAAGGCGCGGTGGTACACATTCATGACATAGTCGAAGTCGTGCAGTACGGCCGGAAGGCGGGCCAGCAGCGCGCCGCATGTGGCCGTGGCCAGAAAGTGCATGAGGTCGGTGTAGGGCAGCGAGCCGAGGCCGGCGCTCGGCTGGCAGCCAGAGTCCAGCAGCAGGAACGAGCACGCCACTGTGTTGTTGCGCAGCTGCACCAGCAGCGAGTCGAACATGGTGGCGTCCGGCAGGCCGATGGCGCCGTCCGTCACCACGATGAGCCCTGCTGGACGGGCCAAGGGGCGGTCAGGTCAGGTCAGGTCGGGTCGGGTCGGGTCAGGTCAGGTCAGGTCGGGTCGGGGCAGGTCAGGTCGGGTCGAGGCAGGTCAGGTCGGGTCAGGTCAGGTCGATGGACGGACCACGTGGCGGTCAGAACGGGTCAGGTCAGGTCGATGGACGGACCAGGGGGCAGTCAGGTTGGGCCAGGTCAGGTCGGATCGGGTCGCGTCAGGTCAGGTCAGGTCAGGGAGGGGAGGGGGAGCGGGACGCCCTCGCCACGATCCACAGGACGGGCCGTCGCCAGGCAGGCCGGACCAGTTCAGAGCGGTTTTATGTGGAATCCCGTGTCACGGCAACACGCAGCGCTCAGCGTCTTAAAGAGTGTACTGATATGCACGCGAGTTTAATGAACAAATATTAAAAACCCACGGATGCGTGCGTTATTTTGCCGCATCTGTGGCATACAGTGACTGAAAAGGAACCACAATCCGCCAGAAATGGCCAGCGGTCCAGGTCATGTACGATGTCTGGTCCAACCGACATGAAAAGGTCAGCTGGCACTGCTGGCGAATGGTGACTGAGTGATCGCAGGGCGGTGGTCCCCTGCTTCATATGGCGAGACAAATATCGCTCACCACGCCTGTCTCATAGCCAGGCCAGCGGCCGGACTTTACCCTGGACTGAGACAGCACAGTCTGGATCATGATTCAGGGTACGTGACAGTAATGTAGCGAGTAATCTAAGAGCAAAGTTTAGTTTCCAGAACGTTTGGAACAAGTCTGCCTAAATCAGATCCTGTCCAAGCATTACGCCCACTGGCTTCCAGGGAGCCGGGCGAGCCGAGACTCAGCCCCAGCCAGGGCTGGTCCTGTCGGCGGCGCCCGCCCCGACCCCCAGCCCCGGACCGGACCGGACCGGACCGGACCGGACCGGACCGGTCCGGTCCGGTCCGGTCCGGTCCGGTCCGGTCCGGTCCGGTCCGGTCCGGTCCGGCCGCACTGACCGGCGCTGCTGTTCTCCGGCAGCAGCTGCAGCGCCAGGATGCCGTAACGCAGCATGTTGACGAAGCCGATGTCGGGCGAGACCATGGGCACGGCGGCCGAGGCGGCCGAGCTGTCGCCCGGCTCGTCCTCGAACAGCTGGCCCACTAGGCGCTCAGACTCCATCTGCGGACCAGACGCAACTCAAACGGGCGTAAGGGGTCAGGCTCAGGCGGACGTCTGGGCGGACATCTGGGCGAACGTCTGGGTGCCAGGCGGACGTCTGGGCGCGGCTCAGGCGGATGGTAGGGCCAGCCAGCCACAGCAGGAGGCCGGCAAGCACGGCCGGTGTCTGAGTCACTGCACAGACGGACATAGGCGACGGACTACAGCTGCAGGCGACGACACACACTCAGACACGGACAGACTAAGACACACAGGGTCTCCTCGGGCAATGTCTGGGTCGCAAACGCGGCCTCCACGTGCTGAAGTCCAATACCCGCCCGTCGCCTGCCAATCCCCACAGTGTGGCTGACCGCCGCTCGCCGGGACTCGACTTCCGTAACCGTGCGCTGACGCTGGTGGACGGCTGCGAGGCGCTGGCTGCCTGGCTCACCCGCTGCGCCTCCAGCTGGTCGTTGGCCATGGCGGTGACGTCGGCGAACATGTCCTCGATGTCGTTGAGCTTGCCGCCCACCGTGCCGAGGAAGGACTGCAGGTTGTCCTCCGTCAAAAGCCAGCCTTGCACGAGCACCTGGCGGGGCAGAGGCGACCCAGCTGAGGATCACGCGACCGACACGATGTCGCGGGTGGCGCGCACCGAACCGACCGGGCCGTCCACGACAGCGCAGAACACGCCTGACTCCGGGTCAGCACACCGTGTGGCGCCACGACTGCCGCCGGGCGCCACAGGGATCTCGTCAGCGCCTCCGGACGCGGGCGTGGGCGGCGGACCGGCCGTGGAGGTCACCGGCCGGCCCGCGGACAGCCGGCCGGAACTGACGACCGCGGCCCGCGTGCAGCGAGATGCCGTCCGGCTCGCGTGCAGCGAGACGCCGTACAGCCCGCGCTCCCTCACCTGGTGTGTCTGTGTGGTGAAGAAGGGCGTGTGCGCGATCACAGTGACGTACAGCTGCGGCTTGTACAGCAGCTCGCTACCCGGCACGTAGAACTGCAACGGTCGACAGAGCGGCGGCATCAGAGCGAATGACCAGCAGCGCCACGCGCGACCTCCGGCGTCCCGCCGCCGAACGCAGACCAACGCCAGCACACAACCTGACGTGCGGATCTGACGCTCGCACAACCGACCCTCGACTCCACAGGCAGCCACAGCTCGTCGTCGGAGCAGTCAGCTGACGGCGGGCCGTCTGTAACAGGTGACGTCGGCGGCGCACGCCGGCACGTACCGGCCTCGTGATGCCCTCCAGACAGCGCCCCAGGGTGGGGAACACGGCGTCCAGCAGCACCACGCCGCTGCTGGTGTCCTGTCGGCGCGGAGGGTAAGACCCCGGTGACACGGCGACCCCTCACAAGGCTGACCGCCGGGCGGGCTCAGGCGGAGCGACGCGGCCCGCTTCAACGTGACCCACTCCGATCCACTGGCGACCACGCCTCACACCGGCCACCAAACATAGTGCAACTGTTGTATAGGCTGAAGCACAATGGCGGGAGATGAGTAGATGTCACAGCTCGTGGGTGCGGCTCGGGGGGGGGGGGGCTGAGTAGGCATCACGGCTCGTAAGTGCGGCCCGGAGATAGGGGGGGGGGGGGGGGCGGGGCTGAATAGGCATCACGTCTTGTGGGTGTGGCCCCTGGTCACATCAAACACAGTATGCTCCAAGCAATATGTCCATGTTTCAGCACAGGAGATCAAAGTGCTAATTTTACCTCAGGTTGGCTTCCAAATAAGTTTGCCATCCAATTGCACAGTCAAAGAAGAACTCGCAGAAGTCCTATTACACATAACTGTAGTCTGCAACACCACCTGCTTTCAAATGGCTTGCAGGCCTTCAGCCCACCTCTCTCTCATGCACAAGACCGGAACAGCTCGCGCCGGCGCCTCACCACGGTGGCGACGGAGGGACTGAGGTCGAGGCAGAACACCAGCCGGTAGACGCGCGCCAGGAAGGTGACACCCGTGCGTGCAGTCACCCGGTAGCGGTACAGGTGGCTTGTGTCCGAGTCCCAGTCAGGCGGCGGGCTGGCCGGGATCACCGACACCACCTCCAGTTCGTCCTTGTACTCGTCCTGCACCGCGGCCCGACAGCACGGACTCAATACAGACTGGTGTGGGTCTTTCAAACACCCTGTGCCACCTCGTTCACACAGGCCAACAAATATCCACACACACACACACACAGACACACATGCATAAATACACACAACACCAACACCAATAAGTCAGCACAAGTAGTGTGGAACATGGGTGTCACAATCAAGATTGCTTCTCAGACCTGTTTCACATAGCTCGGGAGGTCAAGTCAACAATGGGAAGTATGGCATGTGTGATCAGACACCCTTGTGTAATGCACTGGCATAACCCTGGCTGGTCAGGTGTTTGTTGGCGACCACTCACCACCATGTGCCGCTTGGGAACCTGGATGAGCTGGCCCAGGTGGGAGAAGTACCACTGGGCTCGTACATTGCGAGATATGCGGTATTCCTTTCGCATGAGCAGGTAGACCTGCTCTGCCTCCAGTTCCTCCATGCTGCCTCAATGGCAGCAGCCTTGGCAGTGGCCTAGACACATGGGTTGAAACATGACTAGGGCAAGTCAAGTACAACCATACACAACAATCTGACAACTTCTCAATGCATGTAACATAATCTCCTACCATCTAGCACTCCCTTAGGTTTGTAGCTGGCATCACTACGTGCTGGTGAAAACTGTTGAGACATAAACTGAGACCTTTCCAACCCTTATCCAGAACCCAGCAGCATCAGCCACCTTGACAGTTTGTTGCAGGGTCCCAAGCTGAACTTTGCTGAAATAATTTTCCATGACTGGCTTAAAACAACAGCTATGTTACCAATCTAAAAAGATGGTGATTGATGCATGTGCCTGAGAAACATGCATGTAGAGAACACATCAAAGTGGTTATCCCAACACAGCTCACATTTGTGAAGATAGCATTCTTCCAGCAAAAAGATTAAGAAAACTATCTTGCCTAGGTGCTCTCCCCAGCAAGCAAGCTGACATGCTTGGATCTCTTACTGCTTACCAAGCTAGTTATTTGTGCTTACAATAGTTATGCCACATGTCCTATCACTGCTGGCAGCAATCACACCCAGTAGATATATATGCTGCTATAACCATGCCCAGATATCTCATTTCACAGTCTGATATGAGGCACCAACATGACATGAGAATAAAATGAGTCACCAACATGGCATGAGAATAAAATGAGTCACCAACATGACATGAGAATAAAATGAGTCACCAACATGACATAAAAACAATCACTCATCTTTACTTATGGCTGAACAGTTTAAGTTGAATACTGTATAGAATGATGGTTCTGAGGGCATGCTGCCCTAAAGCTGGAAAAGGTGATTAAAATAACAGGCAATCAAATACTAAATCAAATAATTTAATATCTCATCTTCAAAGCCAACCATCTGAAAACTGGTGGTGATTTTCCTGTACTTAGGTCATGCATACTGAGTCACTATGCCACAAAGTTGCTAACAAAATAACGGGGTCCGATCATAGCCTACTGAAGACTGTGTGCCTCACGCTAGGACCAATGCTTGTCAAACCTATGCTTCATACCAGTGAGCATTTCCAAAAGGAGTCAGTGTTTAAAATTATTGCCTGAAATACATACTTTATTGTATACTGACTTGGGGGTCCACATTTTGGTACCTCCCATGCAATAATATCATTTCAAAGGTTTTGCCATGCAGGTTTAGGTGAACTACTCAAAGAACACCCAGGCAATTTTCCATAACTGGCCAAATCACTAAGTTTGAGGGCCTTCTCCAGCTTTTTCTGAATTAATGTAAAAATTAAAGATCAGGAGATGATGACCAAGGACCAAAAAACTATTAGCCTCTGGATGACCTGAGTTTTACCATGCTCTGTTTGGAGACAAGTATAACCTACAATACAAGCAAGTATAAGCTCATCAATTACATTTCAGATAATGACACTATCTTGCTGGTGTCGGTATACATTGGTACCTAATGTTAGAAAAAAATCACTGCACACCATTCGTCATGTTTAGGGCTGAACATATCGCAAATAATCATAAAACAGGTAGATGCATGCTCCTACCTTCAAATTTTGGCAGCTCCAATAGCGAGCTCCCTAGCGCCGCATGCACCCCGCCGCCGCGACTCCCCAGCACATTTTTATAGTTCTTGATGCGTAGTAATGTTGTGATCAAGCATAAATGTTGTGATCATGCATAGCAATGATGGCGGGGTCGCGGTTGCTGCGTGTTTGTGGTCAGATGTTCGCTATCGTAGTTATTTAAGTTCCAAGGCAAGAGCTTAGATGGCCTGTTTTACGATTAATTTCAGTATATTTTACCTTAAAAATGATGATTGATGTACAATGCCCTTAAACATGAGGTAGCAATGTATACCCTGACCACCTTGCCTCGGGCTAAAACTTCATCAATATGCAGATCATTCAGAATAATGTATCATGTTAAATAGTGCCATTGTATGCGGTGCTAATCTACTTCCACATACCCAACCTAAAACCTAAGCCGTTGCCTCCCCGGTCATTCGCCCGCTATGTATTCCGTCAAGACGCGCGAACGTGCAGCAATCTTCCTACGACCTTACGAACTTGCTACATGAGATATCAGCAAGACGTCCCATAAGCTCAGAAACGCATTATTGCCTGAGTCGTTACCCACGAACTCCGAAACAATTTCTCGTTTCAGATCATCTGCGCCAAGACCTGCCCACTACTGTTTACGATGAAATAATTTATTTCCTAGCTATTTCTAAACTACTTTGTTACAAAATTGCCATATCTTGTACTATCCAATCTTCATCTCTTTCCATCTATCCTCTCACTTTCCAGTATTTTCCTATATTTTGTACTATTCCCCAAGCCGTATTTATAAAAAATGAAAATGATGCAGTTTATTTCGAACCACCAGCTGCTACATATCTTCGCGCATACAGATGTAGGAACACAAAACATACACACACACACACAAAAGAAAAAAGAGCAAGGCAGCAGGCAAAGCAGCCAGTGCTTGTTTGACAGGTTGGGGGGACTATTTTGGCCTGTTCCCACTAAAATGATTTGTCCATTTCAACATTTTTCCGCCTAGGGAGGCGAAATTCCACGACCGGGTTGGCATTTTGGCGACTGGGGAGACATGCACCCCGCACAGTTTAGATGTACAAATACGGTCTGGGTACGGGGTGGTCAGAATATTGAATTCGTATTAATGGCCCATAGTGCGTCACAGTTTTCACACGGCGACCGCCGACTGCGTTTCGAGAGATGGCATTTTAGGCACAAACAGATTCGGAAGCTTCATTAATTGCGTGTCAAAACGATGTAACAAAAGCCATAACACCGAGTTTCACCTGTAAAGCCCAAGACACAGAATAAAAGCCCCTCTTTCGGCTATTCCTAGCATGAGCCCGTCTCCCGTCCGCCGTCGGCGGTCACTGGCCTGGACTGTCTGTCCCCTTTATGGCTGACTGCGAGCTGATCGAATGGCTGCTTTGCTGAATGCTTATGAATCAGCATCACTACCTGCGTAGTAGTGATGTTGATCCATAAACATGACCGCTTTGCTAGCGTGTTCACATGGGACATTTACTGCAACACCTATTTCCGAATTACCTTCCCTTACTCCACACCGCAGCAGAAAATAAACTTTCGGAAAACTACCTGCCGTGGGCATGACTTTGTCCACCACGCATTCACTTGCCACTCATTCAACGGAGCGAACTTGATTTGCCTGTATGTCGGACGAAGTTCCCCACTTTTCTTAAATAACTTTCGTACCGGTGTATGTCTAAGGTGCTTTGGATTATTTTGGGCAAAAATTGACGCGTCACATATTACGGGCTTTCCATGCAGATTCCGTAAACTTACATTATTACGCTATTTCAGTGAAATTGTAGTCGTTGTTTGAAATGCGTGCGAGGCTGTGGGCACCTTCTGCACTTTACATTACTGTGTAATTTTCCCGAGGAATATATACATACGCCTCAATACAGCCTTCGAGGTTCGGATGTAATTTCGAAGCTGCAAACTTAATTCCATAAACCACGTTTGCGTAACCACGGCACTCTCACGACGTCTGACAATGCGCTTGCGCGGCGGGGCACCCCGGAAGCACACGCGACTCGAACATTACAGGACATTAACACGATTCCAACTGCCGGACAACAATGACATTACGCAGGCGTGCAATGACAGAAGACGCGTCCAAGTGTGGAAAAGCCCATTTATCGACAAAATCTCTTCGGCCCTAAGCAATCAAACGAACCTTGACACAACTCTTGAGTTATTACATGGTGGCTGGTGGCTACTGTACATGTGATTGTTGCTGTGTCTTCGAAGTGTCTTCATTATGGGTGCATTTTACACGTGTTCCTGTAACGATCGGAATTTTTGTCTTCTCAATATCCTCTATCTTGAGAGCGAGATGTTTGTAGCGGTGGACCATGCCCCGGGACAGTGTGTCAGCATGTAAGGCGAGTGGGGCGATGACTCATGTCTGAGTGAGGAGAACAATCACGGCTCGGGGCGGCGCGTCACAGTGGCGCCGGCCAGTCGCACGCAGATCGTGTTTCGGGTATGAGCCTTGGAAGCAGTATAACAGGTGCTGCTCGGGCGCGTGGGGTGGGTCTCTCCCTGTCGGCGTTGTGTGCGGCAGGTCACCGCTGCGTGTGAGGCAGTCCGACCGAGAATTCTTTTCATTATCGAATACAATGTTTTTAAGATAGTAATGGTCAGCTTTCTTCCTAAAAAAAACTCAAAATATATTACTAATGCCGAGCCTTAATGAAAGCACTTAGGGGCCATCGTTTCTTAATGAAGACGCTTCAAAGACACAGCGAAATCACATGTAGTAGCCACCAGCCACGGCCTAACAGCTCAAGAGTTGTGCAAGGGGTTGTTTGATTACAAGGCTCATCAGGCCGATTTGATACATGGCTCATCATGGCCGATTATGCGAACGTGATATGTGCCTCTATGTGTGGTGTGTGCTGGTTTAAAATCGTTCGCATGTGTAAGTGATACGTGACGCGAAGGGTGCGATGCCTGTTGAATTGAAATCGTTTGCATGTATAACTGATTCGCGATGTGTGATGCCTTTTTACTTTAACTCGCTTGCATGGCTGAATGAAGCGTGATGCGTCATGCCTATTTGCTTGAATTCGTTTGCATGTACACGTATGTTCGCGCATTCTAATTCCTAGATGGGCACTGTATAGCAACTGTATAGCTAGATGGGCTAGCAATCGCTCTATGTTCAATTCGCTGCATGCTGGTGTCCTGTAAAAAACTGTGGCTGGCCTTAAAAAAACCTGAAATCTGTTTTACTAGTCGCTTCTGCGAAATAATAGATGTTCACAGGCAAACACGAGATGCCTTTTTGGTATTTTTGACCTTATTTCGACTCACGTTGTTCGACAATAATGAGACCACTAACTCTTTAATGGCAGGTGGCCCCATGAGTACAACACTAGGCTGAATATTAGCATTTCCGGTCAAGGGCTCGAGGACCATCAAGTCCCAGCGCGTATGCCTCCGGATTGTGGACAGCGGACGGGGTTTACTGGTCGACCCGAAGGCCATTAGAGAGGTACATCACACCACGCTGGTCCCTCCCTGACTCGGGAGACCTCCTGATCTGCGTAGTTGGCTCCGGACTGGATACAGTTCCAGCACGACAAAAGCTTAACATCTAACCTAGATTGTTTAGCGTTGTATGCCTACGGTCCCTGTCCACGACTGTCGGCCTGTTCCCCGCGACCATTTACCCAACGACAACAAAGAAGGGCTGCTGCTTCGCCTGGGTATGCGGACAAATAGCCGCAGTGCACTTAGCCAAATGTCTTTTTGCCGAATGCATTTACACGACTGTTGGTTTGTCCACGTGTCTTTTTGCCGCCTTGTCGAGATGGCGAGACGTTTCAAGTCGAACGGCAATCCGCCGGCATGCCTTTGTCAACGTGTCAAAGAGACGAAATGCTAGTAACTCCAACCGGATGTCAATAAGATGCATGCTCTTGAGTCGAATGCTTACGAATCGAAATGTGAATAGGCTGCAGGTAGGGGCCGCTTAAAGGCGTGCTTCTTGCAAAGGCTTGAAGTTTTCACAGATAAAGTTTATATTGACCTGTATTGTCATGTGCGCCGCTGTTGCTCTGGTTATTTTCCCACCATGGCCTGGGCAGGTGAAAAACAAAGCCCGCCGACGGTGCTGCGGTTAGCGAGAAACGAAAACTCGAAGAAGCACCTAGATCCTTAGGACCTTCTACAAGACATTGTCATTTTCAGTTTCGAACAAGGTAAGCGTCGCAGTGACGTGTCAATGCCACTCCTAATACTACAAAAAGAAGTGACTCAAGCATTAGAAAATGGGGAATTTTCAATGGCATATTTGCTATTTCAAAGTTACGTAAGTTGTTCAGTGCATTAGCGAGGAACATTAGTCACATAGGTAAGGCAGTAATATTAGCCTTATTCCCCGGAAAAACCAGGAGAATGGAGATACAGTTAAGTTGATATTTCGGCACCATGCCTTCCTCGAAACAATAGCAGAAGTGAATTCTGCCAATTCAATGAATTCACTTCTGCCGTTATTCCGAGAGTCATGTTGCCGAAATATCAACCTAACTATCTAATTATATTTCTATTCCTCTGGTTTTTCCGAGGAATAAGGCTAAGACTACTGTCTTGTCTATTTCAAGACGGCCTTTCACGTCTTAATCACCTGTATCATCTTCTCCACCTCGACATTCTTCTCCAAAATTTATATAGATTTGGGTTGCGTCACAAGTAACATCAACTTGTCTTTTTATTTGTCTGGAGGAAAACAGGGCGTTAAAAGTCTGGACTGTTCACACTGACCGAAACATTAGCATTGGTGTTCCACAAGGATCAATGCCAATTTTAAATCGCATTCAGTTCCTCATGTGTACAAACGACTCGCCTAAGATAAGCTCAATGATGATCCACTTGTCAAGTTGCCACAGCTTTTCTTTTTTTCTGCAGAGACCCGCTAGGACTGTAATTTGTCTCCATTTACAACTAACTTAATGTCTGGTTGGCTTTAAGCCAACTGTCCCTCATTCAGCAAAAGTAAAACATCCACACGACACTATTCAAAACTATCATGGTTCAGCCTTAATATTTGTATTGATTAACATCAAGCTGAGGATCCTCATCAACAACAAATACGAAATAAGATACTTTGGACCTTTTAAAAGGGATTGAATGCAGCTGAATGCATCCCATATCGGACGCATATGTGCTCAGGTCAGCAGGAGTATCGGAATTATTGGCAGCAGTCGTTTATTTATTGATAGATGAACGGCCAGGGAGCTAGAATCGCTTTTGAACTGGGGTGGGAGTGAACAATTTTATGGCAAAAAGACCGTGTGGGAGTGAAAAAATCAATTCACAAAAGATGGAACTTACGAGGTCGCGACTGATGCTTCAGCAAACAAAGTCATCTATTTCAAGTTGGCATGGACGTAATACCAGCAACCTGGCAAAACCATTTTGTTTTTTAACATCTTTTAAGCGATAGTTTCCGGTGCTCATTTCGAATTTAATGACGGCAGGAGCCGCACGATGCATCTTCAGTTGAATTCTTAGAGGTCAAAACAGTTCATTGACCTAGGATGACCCGGGTCGAACTTTTTGTTTCAGGAACATACTGCCTAGCGTAATCTTTGTCGCT